GGGACCGGGGAGAAGAAATGCCTTCCTCTGGCCGGGTGCGGTGATTGAAGCTTTTCCCCTGTAGAGACCTGAACCCTGTCATTCAGTTTATACACGTTAATTAATCTCATTAAGGAAATAAGATCACCGAGGGGTAAATTACTGTTCCTGAGGCTACGGCTCGCCGGTCAGAAACCTGAGAGTGACCACCCACTCCTTTAGAGGAACGCTGCCGGTTTTGCTCCTCTGTGGTGAATGAACCCCCCTGTGTTCCGTAGCCCATACTCTCAGATGGTGCCTGTTAAGGAAAAAGAAAAACTTGTTTTCCCGGATCTGTCTTCGCATCGGCAGAGCCATAGTCGTGACTAATTATTCAGGCTTCAATGAATACAACGAACAAAGCCAAACCCACCCCACACGGGTGATCTGTTTAGCATAGTCATGGCTAGCTGTCAGTCGTCATATAACAGTACTACGTAGTTCTGTTAATATTAGTTGTATGCATCTTTTTATGTAGTCATGTGCTGCCTCATTAGCTATTAACCATTGTGGCATACATCTGCAAGAAGTTGTTCAAGGTCTTCTGAGGGACACCAATGCAAGCAATGTCTTTAAACTGTGAGAAAGTGTTGTGTGTACAGATAGACCCAGTACTATGAATGTAGGTAGCGTGTATAATAATTTAAATCAAAGTGGTTTTGATGGTTTTGTTTGAGAGTGAGCCTAAAATAGAAAAGAGCAGTTGGAGGCAGAGACATTGAGGCCAGTATGTCAGAAAAACTGCTATGCATAAAAGCGAGTTATTTCTGATTTTAATATCAACTCTGTGCTACCTGCTGCTTAATCCCAATTTTGTCACAGCCTTCCCATCTGTGAAATGAGATTCTTAAGTGAAAATTATGGTGTAAAAGGCTCTTTTTTTTTTCCATGATGGTCTTTAGCAAAGACTGTGTTGTGCAGGCATGAGAAGTGATTTGAAGATGAGGAATAGCCTGAGAAACATTGTGCTTAACCATTTGAGCCAAAACTTTACTCAAAGAGCAAGAGTTAACCTACCTTTAGATCTCACATACAAATGGCTACTGAAAGATTGCAGTTGTTATGGGTGCGTGTTTCCATAGTTCACTCTATCACAGATTGCATTAGTGCAGTTTAGTTTTTACTGACTACTATTTGAGATGTCTAAGTATACTATTTCTCTGTTTGTATCTCAGTGCTTTCTGCTCCTTTGCAATTAGTTTCAGACATATCCAATTTAATTATAAAATCTTTAGTTTCTGTCTGAGTTGGGATGAAACTCAGTACAGGTGGTAAAAGCTGCCTGAAAAATCTGCAGACACTTGGATGGCTAGTCTTGAGCTTTGGACTGCCTTGGCTAGGCTGATTAAAGCATCTTGCATTGGTAAAGCAAAGCATAGTTCTTTATTCATTTGAACAGGTGCTTCCAGAGTGACTGTCCTTTTTTGCTTTCCCATAAATGCCTTTCAAACATTTTATTCTTTATTAGGCCTTTCAGATGTAAGAAGGAAGCTCTTAGTGGGGGATCATCAACTTGCACCAACTTGTATATTCCTGAATTTTATATAATCTCTTTCCAAAAGGCAGATGTTGAACAACAAACATACAGGAAGATCATTTTATCTGCTTTGTATGTGAGCTGGTGATAGGCTGAAATGAGACTCTTAAAGCATACAAGGAAATTCTGTTATTGCAGCGAGGGGCAATGAAGAATACATCATCCAGCTGGAATGCTATAAATTGCTGTTTGCTGTCATGATAAATGTAGTTAAGATTTGGCCAACTTCTTACATTTGCTCTTACAAAAAGTGTCCACTTTGCCTTACTGACCTGTAAAGTAGCACATACAGTCAGTGGCTTAAATGAGACTTCAGGAGTACCAGTATAAAAGAAGAAGGGAAAACACAGAGTGTGCCCCTACTCTCTCTGGTCTCCTCTCTTTAAGTGCCAGCGTGACTGTGCTTAGGTAGGTGTACACCTACCCATTTTGACTACTGGGTGTTGCACCACCTGGAGAGGAGTTGGAATAAAGAATGAACCAATGTCTGGAACATGTTTCTTCAAAAGCTTGCAAGCGCATCTGTGCTCTGGCATATGAGTGAACCAGGGTGATTAACTGCCAATAGCTGTAACCCTGTCAGTGTTGGCTGGGTGGTGAACCCTGGTGACTTTCCTGTAAGGATTGTGGAGATGAAGCTGCTGTTCGTGTTCACGTTATGCATTTTGAAAGTCTGCAAAAACCTGGAAATTAGGAGGCTTATCAAAAGAAGGAAGGATATGCATAGCAAGTCAGAAGTATCGTGCATCAGACTGCAGCTGTCAAGTGGATGCCCAGATGTAAGCTGTTAAGAACAGCATGAACATATGTCATACTTTCCTGCATGTATATGATACTCTTCCAGTTGTCAGCTATTCTTGACCCATGAACTTTCCCATTCAGACCTAGTTTCTGTGTACTGAGTGATCCTCAGTGTGTGCTTGGTATCCACTTGAACCCTTATAGTTAATTTAGGCATATCAACAATTTATGTACGATTTTTATATAATCAAAGATTTTCTTCTTAAGATTAGTATTTTGGTATCTCAAGATAATATCCCATACTTAGGCAGACAAGGAATACCAGGTCATCTGTGGAACTGAAGGAGCCCTTGGAACAGACAGGAAAATGTACCTTAGTTAGTTGTTTTAGTACTGGTACAGATGTAACAGCTTTAAAGTGGTTTAAGTGCATGAAGGCTGAGGTGTTAAGACATTGATTTAAGGAAAATACTGTCATTATATCCCTGCAAAAGTTGTGCACACAAGTTCTGGTTTGAAATGCCTCTATTAATTGGCATTTTTCAAAGTCAACTTAAAATCATATTTGTCTGTGAGACGATCTCTGTGACAGAGGTCTGATCTGTTCCTGTTTATGTTTGTGATAATTTCATGTACAATTTACCTTTTTTGGCTGTACAATCTGCTTGCTATTCTGACTTCTTTGACTGGTGTGGGGTTTTTGCTCCACATAATGGTGTGTTTGCAGGTGCTGTGTCCGGAGTCCTGGACAGCCAGTTTGGGCAAACTTGTAACATTTACAGTTACTTGCTTGCAGTTCTCACTACTTCTGTGGGGTTTTCCTCCCTTCCTCACCTCCTTTGTGAGTTAAATTAAGATTTGGATGTTTCAAACTCTACAGTAAAGGAATAATGTAATTATTTTTGTAGTGTCTCATTTGGAGAGAATGCAGTGATTCTTAAAGAAAATAGAGGTTATTCTTAAATCCTTTTACTGGTGTAAAGTTAATTGTTTGCCTTGCTTTTAAGGGCTGCCAGGCATGCAGGCAGGGGGATACCTGGTCCCAGAATTCAGGCTGGGCTTATGGAAAGGATTCCACCGCTTTTTGGGCATTTCTTCATTAGTGTAGCGAACCAGTAAGAGCACCATTCAGCTGGTGAAAAGAAGTTTCATTCCAAGCTGAAAGGGAGCACTGTCATTAAAGTCTTATGCTTTCATTTCTTTCCGTGATGGTGCTCATGCAACTTCATCGGAAAATAACACCACCACACCACCCCCCTCCCAATTCTACAGCTTTCCCATATAAACTGTACACCTTTCTATGATCATACCTACTGGAACAGCAGTAGAAAATGAGCTATATGGTGGCTCAGTTCTGGCATAACTCAAAACAACATGTTGGCTGTATTTTGAGACATGGTGGATTGGTCCTTTTGTTGAACTATGCATTTACCGGAAAGGAAGATAGAGGAGGGGTACATTATGTAGGATTAATTCTTTGATCATATTTCCCTTAAGCTAACTGAACTGGAAGTTACGTGTTCCAAGAGAATACAATTTGTCCTTTCAATACTTTTTCCCCCTCTATTTTGTCTTTAACCTAATGATAACCACCAAACAGTTGTGGAAGAGATGTCATTGCTTTTATGTGTATTTGTATTTAAGTGTCTAATAATAAACTTAAGTTCAGGTTTCTTTTTCCTAAGCTTTGGTGGAGCTCAGACAAGAATGCAGAGCCTGAGCATGCACATCTAACAGATCTGGAGTTCTGCCTTACTCCTTGTTAGGGGTGATCCTGCAGGGATGAAGTGTATATATAGGGTGTAGAAAACTCATCAAGATCCTGTGCAGGTAACTGAGTTGTTAGTGATGTCAGTCCCTTTGGGTTAAGCTATCATTGCAGCAAACATGCTATCTTGGATGTTTAAATTATTAATGTATGAACAAAAAAAATGTAACTTTTTCTCCCTCTAAAAAATGCTTTCTCTTGCTCAAGTCTTAGGACAATAGAAAACCCTAGCATAGAAAGAATGAGCAAAATTCAGACATTTTGGGGCACAGATGTGCGTGCACATACACATGTCTAATAATTCCTAGTAGTTATCCTTGCTCTATAAAGCAGCATTAATTTTTTTTCTTAGTGTTACATGTTACCTCAGCATTTGGTTTAATTTTCTTTGTGGAGGAATGAATGGGGCCTATTCCCCCCTCTCTATAGAAATAATGACTGACAGCTAAATCTGTGCTTTCTCTTGCTTCCTGTAGGCTGGCACCGATGCGATTATATACACTGTCCAAACGGCATTTTGTTCTGGTCTTTGTAGTATTCTTTGTTTGTTTTGGTCTGACAGTCTTCATAGGAATAGCAGGTAAGGATGTTGTCTTTTTAAAAGATTACAATTCTTGTATGCTTTGTCTAAAACTGTTGGTATTTACAGATTTATTTAAATGCTAATGAGCTTACTGCCCCTGAGATGTCTGAGGAAGCATTACTTTTGACAGGGAGGGGGAAGTGTTTCTTCCATCTCATTTTTTCATAGGAGTACTACCTATGCAGATTTGATATTTGCAACTGCTTTGCAGGGGAGAGTCAGTAAAGTAAAACAAAACTATCTTCGCTGTAACATAATTTTTCAGCAGACTGCTACATTAATTTTCTTCTTTGTATTTCAATCTGTAAAATGGTGGTGCTAATACTTGGTTTCCTTCCTTGATAACTGTTTGTAAAGCCTTCTAAATGCTTGGGTGATAAATGCCACAGAAATATAAAATATTTTAGTAATGTAAAAATATGAACTTCCATTGTCGAACATATGTAAGCTTAGGTCTCTGGTTTCAAAGACCTTTGTGCGAGTCATGATGTGGGAGGCTGGGAGGCTAAGCACTTAGTGCCTGGATACTTATCCTGGAGATCAGAGAGATTTGTGGAAATCTGGTCAACAAAGATGCAGAGTGTCATTAGGCAGATGGAAAGCGTGGGAGCCCTCTGTATTTCATGCCAGAGAGCTTTTCCAGGTCTAAACTGTACTTGATAAAGAAGTCATCATGCTGTCACTGCAGTGCTAATAAGCTAATACTCTGCTGTCAGGGTAGCTTTGTCAACACAGAAGTTAAGTGACAGACAAGGAGGGGGGAAGGGAGGGACTTGTACTCATTAAGCAACCTGCCCCCCATGTAAGAATTATTTAAAGACGTTATCACCTCCCCCCACTTTACTGCTTTCTCTTGTGCCACTCTTGACACCTCTTGACCTGTCTGTAGGGTTGTCTCTACCTCTGCTCTATCCTTCACTTCTTTAAAATGAGATGGACTGCCCAGGCCTGGAACTCCTCTGCTCCTGCCTGCCTTGGAAAGAAGTGGGGATTAATGGGAGGCAGCTGTTTGGGCTTTTTGTGTCCATCTGTGCCTTGTAGGCAGTACATTCTTCATAATAGCATTAAATAATAAAATTTGTCTGTGAAATAAAACCTCCTTTCCTGCTGTTTGATTTATTGCAGCAGCCTAAGGTCCAAACAGACTTTCAGTCCTTAAAGGTTAACCGCCAGTATTCCTGTGACTTGCCTAAGGATGCTGAAGGGCATTATTTGGCCACTAAAATACTGTATAAATACATTTGCAAAAATGCATTTTATATTAATGATAAAGGAAGAAACCATGGAATTACTCAATTGTGTGTCATTTGGCTTAAAAAGCGAACCATATTTGTAGTTGTGTGTTTTTACTGCCCAGTTGCAAGAAATGCAAGAAAGTTGCTTTACATAAGACCAAAAAGCAGTACTCCTGGAAGAGAAAACTGAGCATTTCATTCTTAATCGGTAGCAGAACCTGAAAGAGAGCTGTGTTGGTGTGTCACATTGCGTCTGCGTGCAGAGTGATCTGATGATGTGGTTGCCTTTGGTCTGGGGGACTTGTCTGCTGTAAGCAACACTTGGTCATCTGTACGCTGCTGGGGTCCCAGGACTTGGCTGAGATCCCCTTCAGGAACTGGCACGGCTGTGGGACTCTTGTCCTCGTAAGATTGGTTTGCTGGATAGTTTTGTTGACCAAGTGTGAACACAGTTCATTATTATAACTTCATTATTTTTAAAAGAATGCTGTTTACCTTGGGAGGAGACCCACTGAACATTTACTGTGATGTTTTTCCGGTGGCTTTTGTTGACACCTCCTTGCTTCCTGTGAATAGAGGGAGGGGCACTAACAATAGAGTGCTCCCTCATTAATGGGTGCAGTCTGAGCAAAACTCACCAAACCCACTAAGTAAATGAAAAAGTGGGAGATACATCCATATTTTCTGTGCTACTTGAATATGCCATTGCCCATACTCAACAGCTCTATCTGCAGTTTGGGAAGCCTAGCAGAAGTCTTGCTTCTCATCTGAGAAAACAAGATAGTTTAATCTGAGGTGGCTGTTGCTCTTCAGTTTTTGTAACACAAGACAGACACAGACTTATTTTGCTTTTTTTCCCAAGTTACACTTACTTTCTTTCCCTTTTCCCAATGGGTCTGTGTTACCTTTGGGGTGAAACAAGTGTAAGGAAAATTCAAGGTGCAGAGCTCATTTTCTGTACCTGCACAGTTTTCCTGTTCACCACCTCAGGGTGGTTCTTTGCTTTCAGATGTGATTCTGTGAACTGAACAAGACTAAAAGAAAAACAATAACAAAAGTAATTTAATCACCATTTTTTAATAATATGACCACAGCATTGTTTTGGTCAGTTGCTTTAAAAAGCTTTAATATATTGCTTGCTAGAGGAGTAGCAGTTATAGCAGTAGAACCTCATTATTTTTTTGGTTGCTGCTCTTGAAAACTGGGACTATGGTCTTTCTGCCCCAATATTGGTTCATATCTTCTGGTAAAAAGAACCTTTTTAAAAAGGCTCATTTTATTGTTTTTTTTTTTAAGACTTAGTTACTGAAATATGATGACTTATCAACTGTGAGCACTTACTGAAATTGAATTATGCTTTTCAAAACAAAAATGCCTTCCAAAACTCTGCCCTATTTATACGTACTTCAGAACCGGAAAGTTCAATGGTGCAGAACAGACTTTATAGTGGATGGGTCTTAGTGAAGTTGAACTGTAATTCTAATATGAAACTTTTGAGTGTGATGGGTGAAATTCTTCATGTTTCCATTTAAAGTCTGTGAGATGGTTAATATTATAATTAGAGTGGTTATAGAAGCCCAAGTAGTGCTGCATGTTTAGAGCTGTCGTGACAGCTAACCTAAAGTACTTCTTGCACAGAATGATCCCATGTTGCTCATTTATAAAGTTCCTTCTTTTCCATTGTTTCTCTGTAGTAACTTTGAAGTCCACGGTCTTTGTGAAAAACTGCTTTTCTTGCATATTTTTTTAATGCTGTTTGTGGCTGAAACAGCATGTTTTGAGGATTAATAAATTACATTAAATTGCCAGGCCGAATACATAAGGGAGAGAGCATTTGGACAGAGAAATCTTACCGTGACTGGGAAGCCTCTAGAGTGACCCAAATATACACAAATACACATCCTGCCTATGTCCCTACCTGCTATACATCTCCTCTGTGTTTGTTAACACCCCGGAATATAGATACAGACCTTTCCCTACTCTTCCCTTTCATTTTTTTGGTTTAGTCCTTTTGCTTATGTACATATGCACGCATGAGTACATGCTTTTGAGTATGTACATACATGCATACATTCCTCTTCTTCCCAGTACCATGTGTTCTTGCATACCTAAGAAGGCTAAGGGGAAACTGTACCACTGTCTACAACAACCTTATCAGAGGATACACAGAAGATGGGGCTAGACTCTTCTCAGAGGTGCATGATGATAGGGTGAGAGGCAACAGACACAAGCTGGAACACAAGAAATTCCAGTTAGATATTAGGAAATTTTTCTTACCATAAGGGTGATTAAATACTGGAACAGGTTGCCCAGGGAGGTTGTTGGAGTCTCTGTCCTTAGAGATGTTCAAGACTTGACATGGCCCTGAGCAACCTGATCTAATTAAACAAGAACGTGGGCTAGATGGCCCCTGGAGGTCTCTTCTGACATAAATTATGATTTTATTGCTTTCCATTTACTGCATACAGAATTAGAGGTAGGGTGTGAGTAGATGGATGCAGTTGATAGTACATGTTAAGTGTGTTTGTCTGTATCCAGAATGATTGGAGGAATGGTTGCATAAAAAGTCTGGTAGCGAGCTGAACATCTCCCACTACAATTGGACATGAAACTCCATTGATTAAATGGATTGTCTGTTATAGGAGAAATTGTTTATAGAACTTTTATACAATTATGTTTATTTATGTGATCACATACACAATATATTATAGCCCCAATCTGAGTGGACTGAGAAGTGTTCCTAAACAAACATGTGGGTATCTTGGCCTGAACAAACTGATACGATGATAATCCAGCACTAGCCAGAAAGTACTGTTATTGTGATTGAACAAGCAAGTACACTACACGTACATAAAAAGGCATTAGCATCATGCACTCAAATACGATGGGATGTGTTTGCCCTGGTACCCAAGCCTTGAGTGCAATGCATTATGGATGCTATGTGAATCAGGTGATGGTAACAGTTTGGCTATAGAAACTTTATAGTGCAATTAGATATCCTGGTTTTTCAGGTGGTTTTTGCAGCCCTTGTTGAGCTTCAGGTTGCTGTAACAGTGCCACTGGTGCTTAGCTAGCTTTTTCTGTAGCTGAGTACTTTCATGACTGCAGTGTACAGCTTAGCGTGGGGAAAATAGTGTGGTTTGCTGTAGTTAGAGTACACATGCTGGGTTTCTGACATGGAGTTCTTGATTTATAATTTACTTCCTATTTAATCATGCCTAGAAATACTATGGCAGAGAGGCTTAAAGGAACATTCAGGCCAAGTTTATTAATGATATTGAAATGTCTAAGTGATTTACTCTTCAGCTTAAACACTGAAAAGTGGGATAATATTTACCTGCTTTGCAGGGAGGTATTTTGTACAGTCTTTTGAAATCCTATATTTACATCATTACTTATCAGTAATACGCATACTTCAATATTGTTTTCTTTCTTCCTTCTTATATATTGTGTAGGTCCTAATGTAATTGAAACTTCTGTGGCAAGAACTGACTTAAATAACACCCTAAAGGTAAGAGTTAATAAGTATTGTTGGATTACATGAATGGCTTTATTTGATGTCAGTAATATTAAACATACCTCTCCTTCCCCCCCACTTATTTTAAGTATTTAAATTTTTCCTGGAAAACTTCTTGGTCACATGGTGCTTTCCCGTTTCAAATTGAATGTGCAGTATTGTAGTACCACTGTGTTATTTCATGAGTGGCCCAGCAGCAATTTCTAGTCTCTTACTTTTGTCCAAGACATGGGATCTGGCTTCCTAACATGAACCTTCACCTTCATTTTCTTGAAAGCTTTCATATTTTGATTCTCAGTTCTTGCATTTTTATTTCTGTCTAGCTCTTCACTGTCAAACTAATATCTAAAGTAATTTTTGTCAAAGTGCTAAAAAGGTTTTGTTGTTCTGTTTTGATTTTTTTTAAAGTAAGTTTTCATTAAATACACTGGAACATTTCTTTTTTTGGTCTATTAGTCACCTATATATGTTTGGATTGGTACTGTATTATGGGTGGATTTTTTCTTTTTTAAAAGCATATTTTTATATCAAATAGAAGTCTTCCCTGCATGTAGGTTTTATCTGTTAATGGTATCTACCATGCTTTTGAAATGAATGTGGGATTTTTAGAAAACCTAGTGGAAAATAGTTGTTTTCGTAATCATAGTTGAGCAGGTTTAAAACTATGTAGCAGATGAGGGGTCACAAATCTGACTTTTGGTGTAAAGTGCTAGAAATGACTTTTTAATTTCAGGCTAGGTCTCAGGATTTTGTTTTTCATATCTGAACTTTTTTCTTTTATTGCTGCTGCTTTTATGTACTTTAAGTAGTCGTACCTGTCCTTACTTCAGTGCTGTGCAAAATATGTGTGCTGTTTAAGCTACTTCTCCAGAAGACTTATATTTGAGCTGCTTATCATACTGTCCACAGAGTAGCACATATTAAATCTATTCCAAAAAATACTGTCACAAACATAATTAACATGCCTTTCATCATTGTAACTACAGATATATCATGTAACAGAATAATGGCTAGTGCTAACCTTGTGGGGTTTTTCTACAGCTGAAGCCATTTAATTTAAGTTCGCCACCACTGTCTACTTACAATCAGCAGCTGTGGCTGACCTGCGTAGTTGAGTTGGATCAGCATGATGGTGAGACTCTTACCTAATTCTCAGAAAACTGCTATCTGTATATGGTATCTTTAAGTTCATCTGTCACATACATGATCCTGTTGCTTTCTGGCTATGGTTGGTGGGTTTTCCCTCTGACACATTTTCTCCCCCTACACCCCCTGCCCCTAGTAAAGACACGGACAGCATTGATCTTGAGAACTGGAAGCAACAGGTATATGGGATAAGTTGTTTGTTATTCCTGTGAAAGCAGTAGTATCTAGAGAATCTGTGTCTCTCTTCCTTCATTCTGGGGGGAATTAGAGGTGTAGATTGTAATGATATTAATTTTTCAATAAGACTTCCCTGTAAATATGTAAGAAATACTGTATTAGTAGTTGTTAATCTGTCAAGGTTCAATACAGGGCATTTGTGACTTACTGCCTAAGTTTATAAATAAAAAGTTTTGTGGTTTTTTTATTAATAGACTGGACCCCTACTCCAGTAACGTATAACTGAATAACTTTGAGTAATCTTTGGGTATCATATGTGTTGTAAACTATATTTGGAACTCTGAGATTTCATTTCTGCATGTAGCAATAGCTTAATGTTTTCTCTTTTAATTACAGTATCCCTCAAAAAGAATGTTACTATGACAGTCAAAGTACTTGGGGTGGTGAAGGATGGAAGCACACCGTATGTTAATAATCAAGTTCACAATCGGACAAGATTACTCAGTTGTGCACAAGTATGTGCCTGCTTAAACAAAACTCTGATGCAGTACATTTTCTTTAAATCTATTTGTGTGCATGTTACATTACATCACAAATGAGAAGAATATATCTGTTAAGCATGTCTCAGGAAAGACTCTAGAGTATAGTTTTATTTATAATTGCAACCTAGCTAGTAATGCTGACCCAGATACCTACCTGTCTGTCTTTTTTTGTTTACTTCTATGACTTGTGTCTATTACCCCTTAAAGACACCTCTTTCTTGCTAGAGTAGCTCTATGCCAGCAAAGCAGTGTGTCCTGCTTAGTTACCTAAATAGATTTAGCAGTACTGAAGAGAGGGATATTGTAGTAGAAGATTAGATATTGGGCTCCAGAGGAGAGAAAAATTCTAAATTTTTAAACTTAGAGACATCCAAAACAGCTTCTCCAGATGCAAGTCCTTTAGGAAAGGCATAGCTGAAGTTTTTTTGTAATAAGGATATAGGGTAAATCAAATGTTTTCTTTTTACATATATATACACACACAACATATATATGAAATCTTCAGAAATTAATGAACAGTGTGCCATTAGATTTAACTACACACAGCCAAGAGAGCGATGTGCTTGGGTTTTCTCTTTCCTCCTGTTAACTTTTAGAAATGAGTTAGTACAAGATAGCCCCATCTCACAATCTGATGACCTAGAGCTTGACTGATAGAGTTATTCAGATCCTTCCTGGTGCTGCAAGCAGTTGCTTTCACCAGCTTAAGTGAAAAGCTAGCCTTGTTTATTGGTTCAACCTTTGATCCTGCTGACTGACTTTACTAGTTTCTTCTACTTTGCCTGGTATCTTTCAAGAAATTATTTATCTGCAGGTCTTGTTTGAGTCTTATTATAACTGATCAAGATTGGTAAGGCATATAAAAAATATCATCAATATCTGACCGTCTAGAAACAAATTCTCCAACCTATACTAACAGTGTGTATTCTGGAATAAATTGAGGGCTTTTACATACTATTGTTCACTGTATGTGTTCACAGAAATGCAGTGAAATCATTGTTGCTCACCTTGGCTACCTGAACTACACTCAGTACAACATATTTGTTAGCTTTGAAGATCTAAATAAGTTAACGTACACCATTCAGAATATTACTTTCACAGTAAGTATAAAGTTTTATACTAGCAAAAGAAACCTCTTTAATTACTAATGCTGTAGAAGTCTGCTTTAACTGTAATAAAAAAGTTATCTCATTTTTGAAGATAAACATAGAGATGCATCATAATTTATTTTTCTGTCACTACTAATGTCAGAACTATTATAGCATTCGCTGTTAATAAGAGTCTACACCAATTTTTTTAAGTCTATAAGGAAAGATTTTTCTTTCAGAACTGCTAATGCTGTTTTGTGGAACAGATAAATTTAGTCTAATTCCTGGGAGATATTTTTAACAGTAGGCAAGCTAGACTAGAACATCCAGTTTTCTGCATTTGCTTATAGAAATGTTGCCTCTCTAAAGCATGGCATCTTTTTCAACCTTTCCAGTAGGTGTGTCTGAATTAGCAAGATTTTTCCAGACTTTACAAAACCCTGAGCTAGAAAGATTTATCAAACTCAAAGAAAAATGAAGAATTTTTTTTTTAATTGTGCTTATGAGGAAGAAAAAAATGTTTATTCAGCTAAAATAAGCAGGCTAATAAAATAATTCACTAAAATAATCCCTAGTGAAATAACTAGCTCCATTCATAGTGCTGAAGATGGCTTATAAAACAGTTACATCATCAGTGTGTGCTGATTGGCTCCAGAACGAAATTTAGAAACATTTGCATGGGAGAAAATGGAACTAAACCGAATTTATAATACAGGTTACTATGCTATATTCTACATGTATGCAACACTTGGTATGTCAGAGCAGGTAGCAAGCAAAAATCTTACTGTAAAGCAAAATTTTATTTTGTATACTAAATTAACTTCCTGAATATTAATATTTGTAATATTCTAGTGCATAAAGCACATTATTAAAAATAAGCTGTAAAAGAAAAAAAAAAACCAAACTCACAACCCCTTTGCTTAGTTCCAGATTTCAAACAGGACAAAGTGTTGGAGCAATTATAGTTGTATGGTTTAGTATCTTGCTTTGCAGGCTGCCTTCAAGGCAGACTTGCGCGCGAAACCAAAAAACCCAAACTCAAAGCCCTGTTTTCCTGCAGCAATTAGAATTGTCAATTTATTTCATTATTACAATGGTTTATGGTGATCTCAGTTGAAATCATAGATTGCCTTTTGTATAACAGGATTCTCTACATATAATTTTCATTCTACGTTTGTGGTTTAAAAAGACAAGGCAGAGGTTGATAGATTTAATACATTGAAAGGGAAAGCTTCTTGTTCAGATGGGCAGAGCACATGTTGTACCTGGGAGTTTACATTTCAAAAGTGGCTTCAAAAGAGAAGCATGCCACGTATGAGATAAATTGTCAATAGAGCCGAGTTTATGCAAACTGACACGTTATAGTTAATATTTGTGCCCTTCTAATAATTACAGGAGGAGAAGGAGCTTTTCCTTCTTAACCCATGAAAAAAGTTCTTTATTCCTGGTTATCTCATTTATTCTTCCCTTACTTGATTTTTTTTTTTTTCCCCCACTTCTGAAACAAGAGAATAAGCTTTAAGAAAACAAGCCCATGACAGGAAGCATGTCTGTACCTTATCAACCTCTTCATAATCAATTTGTGCATCTGACCTTGGCAATAAAGAAGAATATACTGGATTTACTCAATTATTGGCATTCACACTTTGAATGAAAGTGCAGTTGAAATCAATAAAGAATATCCTTTTTGTCCTGAGAAGTGCTTTAACATACGACAGCACACTGAGTGTGTTACAAAGTGGCAGGCTAAAAAAGAAACAAGGATATTAGGCTGCTTTGGTTATCTTTTCATCAGATAGTCATATGGGTATGAATTTATCTTTGTCTCTCTATGGTGACATAGTGGAATTTGGTTATACCTTTAAATTTTGAAAAGCCAGAGAACTTTTCAGTATCTGCAGAAAGTGCTAATTATTGATGTTGTATGTACCCTGTCAAAACATTGTCCACTGGGCTATTTTCTTCTGTTTTCTTGTAGTGGAAGACCTACAATCCAACTTTTTCACAAGTGGAAATATGGTTCCGATTTGTCTTTGTAGTTCTTACGTTTGTCGTCACGGTAAGATTTTTTTTCATTTTTTCTGGAGTATATTATGTAGGCAGCTGATAACACTGCTCTGTATTGCTGTGTTTAGTAACTTAACCCCAGGCAGCACAGTTGAGATATCACTGAATGGCTGTAAAAAAATGTTTCTAAAATAGTTGTTGCTTTTATGTTTTTACAAGTGGTATTGAAGGGACATTAAGAAAATAGGATAAATGGGAAAACTTGTTTTTCTAAACTCTGATTTTGAATTGAACAGAAAGAATTTTGCTTAAACAAAGGAAATTGTGATTAGATGCTAGAAAAAAATATTTTTTTTTGCAGTGCAGGTAGGCTCAGACATTGGAATAGGATGCCCAGAGCGTGAGCTCTCAGTCTCTGAAAATGAAAAATACTCAGTTGAATATGACCTTGATCTAACTTTAAAGTCATCACTGCCTTGAGTATGAGGATGGGCCAGATGACCTCCAGACGTCCCTTACAACCTAAATTATGCATGATTTAGATTATCTCTCCCCTCCAACCTGGTTTGGCCCCTGGAAAAGAAGTGTTTGGGAAAAAAAAAAACCAAAACCCATAAAATGTAAAATGCAGAAATTTCAGAGTAATTTTCAGACACTAAAGCATTGAACATTTGCATAGCATTTTTCTCACATAGATGATGTCACTCAGCAGGTAACCGAATGTGATATGGAATCTGTTGTTTTAAAAAGCTAGTTTAGGTGGAAGTTGTTGTTAGTATGTGACCAGTAATTAGGCAACATTTTTCGTCCATTGTTGATTTGTGTAGTACTAGCTGGTTTCTTTCTCAGTTTGCTTGAGAGATTAAGTAATTTGCATTGGGGTAAGTCAACAAACTTGAAGCAGAAGTAGAAGCTAGGAGATGTGGCTCCTGTTTTACAATGTTCTCAGTGGCAAAGACCTCGTGAAGTAGCCTTTGCAATGTGCTGTGTTATCTCTTTACTCTGGTAAACCAATAAGGCTATATTCCTTGCTTACAAATTTTTGTTGTTGTTGTTTTATAGTGTCTGTTTGCACATTCCCTGCGGAAATTCTCCATGAGAGACTGGGGTATTGAACAGAAATGGATGTCCATCCTCCTTCCCCTCCTGCTACTTTACAATGGTACTTGTATCCTGGAATTTTTAGAAGAGCTCCTTTTTTAAAAAAAAAACAAAAAAGAAAGAAAGAAAGAAAAAAGAACAAGAGAGTGCGTGAGAGAGAGAAGGCAAAATGGAATTTGGCCTTGAACTTATAAGCAGCTATTTATAAGACTTCAGAAAACCAATTAAAAAAAACCCTACCCTTTTTAAGTGTATCAAATTCAAGGGCATAATGAGTAGGTGGATTTCATTCTTTGCAGTCACGTGAATGTCAGCTTTATTTGTTTAAAGCTCTGATTAGAATAGGTGGCTGCAACCATACTGAAGCTTTCATACAGTGACATGTAAATGCAATTTCTGTATTTGTCTGCTAAGTCTTACTTCTTCATTTTTCAGATACTTGCACTTTAGTTAAAAATGGAGGCTATTTTTAGTCTAGTAAACCACATCAAATTCTAGCACTCTTTAGCAGTACCAGAAGAACATTTACCTTTCAGTCATTCTATGATAATTTTTTAGGTCATCACCAAGAACAGCAGTTCAGTAGAAAGTCTGATAAAACCTGAAATCTTCTAGAAATGTTGGCAACCAGTTCAGATTATTTCTACAGCACAGAGGATTGCTGCTGGAGGCACCATTTTCTTTGTAAATTACTTTAAGATACAGCAAACTTCAATTTCATTTACTGGTGTAATTTGAAAAATCTAGGGGGTTTTGTTCCTCTGAAGATACATTCTGCTTTACTTTCCATAATGGAAAAGACTGTGCTTTTCCCCCTCTGTTTAACTTTTTTTTCTTATTTTGTTACAGATCCATTTTTCCCCCTTTCTTTTCTGGTGAACAGCTGGTTTCCTGGAATGCTGGATGATCTATTCCAGTCACTGTTTCTGTGTGCATTGTTGTTGTTCTGGCTTTGTGTCTACCATGGTATAAGAGTACAGGTAAGGGTGCAACATTATCTACTACTTACTGAGAAGACACTACTTGTTTTTTCAACATTTATTTTTTTCTTAAAGTACAATGTGACACATGAAGCTTTGGAGTTAAAATGATTTGTGGACAAGTACATTGTCTTGAGGCTACCATGCCTAGAGATAGATGGGACAGTCTAAACTATTGCAAGACAGTCTTCAGAATTATGATGCCCTTCTGCTTTGTTCTTGTTTGAAGGGTTTTGTTGTTGTATATGGTGGTTGATTGTCTTTAAACCACTTTAAAATACTGCATAAGATAAATATGAATTCTGGAGCATATTCCTATATTTGCAGTATCAGTGAAATATGTGGGACCTTACAAATAGGATGCTCCAAATCTACTGCATCTTATTAACACAAATGATGAAACAATTTTGTGTCTTCTGTAATCACCTGTGCAGGTTAAAAATACAGGAGGCAAGTCTCTTAATCTAGTTCATGTTAAACAAAACAAAGATGGTATTTATTTTATTCTGTCAAGAATCTCAAACATGGCTTCACTCCTTCAAGACACTATTGTTTCCTCAACAGGGGGAAAGGAAGTGCTTAACTTTCTATCTGCCCAAATTCTTTATTGTTGGACTGTTGTGGCTGGCCTCTGTTACATTGGGAATATGGCAAACGTAAGTAATTTCAAATTTAGTGCAAAAGTAATGAGCTGAGAGTATTCAAGAATGACAAGATTGTTTATAATTAATGGTATCTATTTCTTAATGTTCTGATTGTGATATAGGAATGAAGTTGTTAGGTGTTACGGCTCCCTACAATACTCCCTCTAGCACTATGTCCCAATTAGCTTTTAGTATTTGAAGCAACAAGTTTCTCTGTAGTTAACTATTAGATGGTTTAACCAAACTTTCTCAACTATTAAACCTGCACAATTGATATTGACAATGCTCAGTCAAGCTATGCTATCTCTCCTCAAAACTCAGTTCTTTTGCTTAGTTCAGTGTTTCTCTCTTTTTTTTCCACCCAGAAAACTTTCTCAGTTTTGGTACGTTTGTAGTTTCTAAACCGTTTTAGTCTCAAGTGTTTGCCTCTTATTTTATTTCTCAGAAGGAAGATGCCTTCTAACTATCTTCATGCTGTTGTACATTGTTGAAAGCAGCGCAGTTGCAGGAAATGCTCGTGCTTATGCGCTATCAGCAGAATTGCTATGAGGGAAGGGCTTATACCACAGTTATTTCTTAAGTATAATTCTTATCACCAAGGACAAAATTTAAACACTAAATCCTGAAGGCTTGTAGGAATTTACAAGATTACACATTTTCTAAAAAACAAGTGGGGAGATTAGACCTGCTCACAACTGAAATCTTCCATATTCCTTCAAAACTGGGTTTGGGAAGGAGGATGTTATGTACTGTAAATTGTCATGACTCCATTGGAATCAATGGCGTTGCACCGGTTCATACAGCCAAAACCTTTAGTTATAAACCCTGTATAGTAACTTTAAACTTTTTCTTTGTTAGTGGGCTTCTTGGTCAGTATGGCTTTTTGACCTTGTCTTTTGTAATGGTGTAAGTACCACTTTTCATTTTGAATCTTTTCTAGTGTTAATGAAGTACATGATCCTACATATCAATACAGGGTTGACACAGGTAATTTCCAGGTAAGTCAGAAATGTTTTCTTTCTATTAAATTGTCAGGTGGAGTTAGTCAATACAAGGAGGTGGGGTTTGTTCTTCTATTAAAATCTATAACACAATTTAGAAAATAGCAAATGCGGGTCAGATGGTCTTATTCTGATGATGTACTTTTAATTTTGCTTTAGATCATGCGTAGGCTATATTGAGCTCCGTCCCAGTAAGAAGAGTAAATTGTCTTGCAAATCTGGAGATTAAACACCACAAGTTTAGTCACAGACTTGTGACTGTTGGGATTGAAAGAAAAATTTTTAAGCCTCTTATTAAGTCAGTTTTGTACATCTTTACTCCTGCCAAGATCCTCTGTCCTAGTAAATTTCAGACTTTGTTGTTGTAAAAGAAGATCTGATTTATATGGGTCCTTGTATTGTTCTCAGGAGCTGTGTTTTTAGAAAATCATTGAGATTCAGCTCACTGTGAACTCAGTGAACAAAATGATGACTTTTGTTAAACATCCTTTCTTTACATTCCCCCAAACATACCTTGGTGTATAGCCACCCTTGTTTTGTACTTCATTACATGAGCCTACCTTCCCTGAATAAATGGACCATTCTATGTTGTGCTTTGGGAAATAATGACTTCTATCAAGGGAAGAAGGAATAGACCAAATCTCGTTAAATAATAAAAATTCTTCTTATAGGGAATGAAAATCTTCTTCCTTGTGGTGGCAACCACATACATTCTCTACCTTTTGTTCCTGATAGTGAGGGCATGCTCAGAACTTCGTAACATGCCTTATGTTGGTAAGGAATATTTCTTTTGATTCTTCCCCAAACAGGCTTCCTTTTCCTAGATATAGGTGTAAATTCGCTAATAACAACTTTTCTCAATCTTTTTCAGATCTCAGGTTAAAATTCTTGACTGCATTAACCTTTGTAGTGCTTGTCATTAGGTAAGGCTTTTCAAAGTACATTTCTCAGTACTGTAACTTTTATAACCTTTTTTTCAGGGCTTTGAATACATTTTGTTGATAATAAAATTGTCAATGTAACTGAGGAATGTCTTTTGATATGATTGTTATGGCAAGCATTTCTTAATTTTTTAACCCTTCTTGGAGCTTTTAGAGCTAACTTTATATTATATCCATTACCACAGCAAATACACTGCAAGATTTAGAGGTTCATTTAGCAGAGATATTTTCTGTACTGCTGAGTGGCCTGCAGTTCACTGTTTACCTCCTTTGGAGCTTTGTAAGCTTCACTTAGTCAAAGCAGAAGTTCAGAATTAGTTTCTTAGTTTATTGTTAATATCTGTCTCCCCCACTCCAAGCAGTTATTTCAAATTATTGTTGACTCTTGGATTGTCTGTAGCAGATGAAATCTGAGGGAAATAGACCAAGGGGGTGGGGGTGGGGTGTCTGCTTTACTCAGTTGACTGCTGACTTTTAATCACAAAAGAGTCATTCTTAATTTAGAACTATGAAAGCAAATGTGTCTTAAAATAAATGGTCACCATGTTAACGTAATTATTTTCTCATATACTCTTCTATCAAGCTAGCATTTCAATTTTGTGGTTTAAAGGCACAATACACCTATATGCTTTAACTTTTTCCCACAGCATTGTTATACTCTACCTACGCTTTGGAGCACAAGTTCTACAGGACAACTTTGTTGCTGAGCTGTCAACTCATTATCAGAATTATATCCTTGTGTTGTGATACTGCTCAAGTAGGAATGTTAATCTATTTTCATGCAGAAGGTATTTAAAAATTATGTACCAAAGGACTGAAACCTTTGACTTCTAGGTGGGCTTTTGAAGTTCAGTCCATTTTGATCGAGGTTTCATGTCAGCATTTTGTAATGGCTCTTTGTAAAGATTATGAGCTGAGACAGTTTCAGTCTAATATTTTTACATCACATAAATCACAACTGCATTTGATACTCTTCAAAAGGAATGAAAGCCTAGATATGCATGCATTCAAGTAATTTTAACAAGTTATTGTGACAGATTTGGCTGTATTTGCTGCATGAATTCAGTTTGCTGTATACCTATCAGTTGGCATGGGGTGTACCAAAATATTTGAGAAATTAATGGTTTAGAAGTCACTGAAAATGAGTTTGTGTATTTGTCCAAGTCTACATGTGGAAAAAGTCATAGCAGAGAATTTAAGTGACTTGAGAGAGACTATTTCTGACTTCTGTTGGCAACGGGATTACAAACCATTTCTGGACCTGAACCATGAGAGCCTAGTTCATTCTACTTTCTGAAAGTGTCTGTGTGACTGCAACTGCTCCGGTTACTGATAAGCTTAGATATGTGTTGGGAGCTAGTAGAAAACAATATGTAAATCCTTTAGTATTTTCCCAAAATGATGACACAAAGTCATCTTCAGAGGTCTGTCTACAGATAGTCCTTTCTCCTTCCTTCTCAGTTGCTGTGCCAAGGAAGAACTTTTTTTAAAAATAAACAAAGCAAACCAAAAAAACCCCCACCTGAACACCCACCTTACTCAGCTTTCTTTTAGCATTGAAGGCAGAACTATTCAATTTACCATGCACTCCACCACTCAAGAATAGACCTTATCTCAGCAAATGTTACTTGTGTTAAAGCTTTGTCTTCAGTGGGAGCTTTACCTTGAAATAGCTTGAGTACATTAGTTGTCACTGAATTTAAAACATGCTGTTTTGTTTAGCCATTCATGCTCTCAAACTTTAGTAAGGTAAACATTCTTTCCACTGAAACAGCTTATGTATGGTTTGGGTCTTGTTCCCAAAGTTAATATGTATGGAGCTATATTGAGCAATATCCTTGACACCTACCACCAGCAGAATTCTTATCATTTTATGGTTTATTGAACTTTTATCTCTACACGTTAGCCTTCGTGTATTCCCCCTCAAAGAATGCACTATATGGTAAGTGTAAGCAATTATCTGCACTGCTCCTGAGCAAATTAGTATTGGATATGTGAAGGAACACATAAAATGTATACAACTGATTAGCTAGACTTGAATTCTTACACACTTAGATCAAGCTTATAGTTAATATGATGTTTGCATACGATGCACTAACATTTGCACTGACAGACAATCCTTAAGGAGCAACAATACTTCATTTGTCCTTTGTTCTAACAAAGGTTAATATATTGGCATGCTGGCAAACTGGACTCTGAAATAGGTAACATGCTGTTGGAAAAGTAGGAGTGAAGCCGATTGCTAACATGGGAGGAATTTGGGGGAACTTGCTATGGGGAGAGGGCTGCACAGGGCCCATGTAAAGGGAAATAAAAGGATTGAATCAGTGGCACTTCTGGTTTTGCGTTCCTACATAAAGGATGTAATCTGATTCACATGATGATTATAAAGTATTATCCCTCTCTAACAGATAAAGATCTGTAAAACAAATATTTGTACTGAGTGCATTCTCTGCTTTAAGCATTGAGTTCAAAATATAGAACCACAGAACAGCCCAGGTTGAAAGGGACCTGGAAAGATCAGCTGGTCCCAACCTCTCATGGGAAAAGGAGCCTAGATGAGATAACCTAGCACCCTGTCCAATCACATTGTGCATGCTGAGAGGTATGCACAGGGAAGGCACTAAATAGTGGAGCTGGTCCTTTCTCTAAACTTTTTAGAGTTGAGATGGATGGAACTGTTACAGAAAAATGCTATTTTTCCATTAAGAAAGAGAAATGGCTGGGTGAGGATAAAGTTAAAAACTTGCTGTTGGTTGCAAGAAGTATTAGTTTCTAGAAGGCAGAAAGTAACAGGCTGCCAGGCAATGTTTATGGCAAATTGCTGGATTTAATTTTACTTGCACCAGTTTATGAACTGCAGCTAAGCAGCACAGATTATGCAAGAAATTAAGGCCTTAAAACAAGGTAAAGGGAATTGTCATAAATAGCCAATGGAAAATATGTGTTTCCTTTCACCTCACAATAAAGGTACAAGTCCTTCCTTCATCTATTACAAGGATGAAAAATAACTGGCTAATCATTGACTTGCATACAAGGGATTACAACTTCAGTCTACTACATTTGTAGCTTAGAAATGACCAAGAAGTTAAAGAAGTCTATGCTTTTTAAATACATATGAACTTTTGAATAATAATTAAGAATAATGAGGTCTGACTTAATGACTCTTACGTGCAGGTTGAAATAATATAACATAGGAAACTGCACAAGGGAGGAAATCCACTTAAACAACATGGACAATATCTATCTAAAAATAAGATGACGTATTTATATCATCTCCTTAACTCTTAAGAATACCATGATGTTGTGGCTGAAGGGTGAAAAATTTAAAGGAGAGAATTCCTGTTTGGATATTGTTTTGTTTAGTTTGTAGTCCTGACTGCCTTGGAAGTTGTAGAGTCTGTTGCTACAGTGTTGAGTTAGAAGTACAGCCACGTTTCTATAATAGGCTAAATTAACCCTTATTTGTATTTTCCAGAATCACAGTTGAAAGACAATCCTGCTTTTTCTATGCTGAATGATTCAGATGATGATGTGATTTATGGGTAAGATTATAAAATACCTATGGAGAGTTACTTTTGTTGTGTTATTTTTGTAGTGTTCTTTTCCATATTCATAAAATAAGGATTTGTAGGTTGTTAGTGAAAGTATTCTGCCTAAAGAACAGAAACATAGCCTTATTCTCTAAACAGAAATGCAGTGAGAATGCACATTATTTTTTCTTTTTTTGGTTTCTAAAAGGGATTGCCATGGCACTGATACAAACAGGTAAGAAAGTATTAGGATGCTGGTAGGTCATGGAATGAAGGCAGCAAGAGCTGTGAAAGGAAAGGACTTCCTTTAAAACTGGGCAGGATTGCAGGAGTCAGGTGGAGTTAGCAAAGAGGCAGCTCATATGTAAATGCTTCAGGGAAGGAGAATGGCTCTTCTTAAGTGCTCATCACTTACTGAAATAAGAATAATCAAATCTAGCAAAACTTACTGGACTTGTGTGAGTTTATGTAATATGAGAATTGTAGTAGCACTTAAGAGCCATACTGGTCAGGTGTGTCTGTGCTAGACATTGAATGAACTCATGATCTGCCCTTGATGTTTTCACCTCTTACGAAAGACACCGAAGTGGCTGGAACAGTGAGGATGGGTTAATACTGCAGTCACCTGAAGAAGTTTGTGCTAAACTAGCTGTATGCATTGTCTGAGATAGCTTGCCTTTGTTTAGTTAGATGAGTAGTGGTAGTACCAGCTTGCTTCTATACTCTATACGAATCCTTGTGAAAAGTGGCTTGTAGTTACTGGAATAACTTTTATTATGCATCACCCTCTGGAGAGAAGTCATATATGTTGTCCATATCCCCAACAAGGAAGGAAAACAGATACCAGCTTCTAAATAACAATTTGAAGCCTCAGTGTAGTTTAGAACTTTCCTGTTTATGTTGGGCTTTCTATCTAAACATCACGTTCAGAAGTTTTAACAAGATCTGTTTCACAGGAGTGACTATGAAGAAATGCCACTTCAGAATGGCCAAGCTATTAGAGCCAAGTATAAAGAGGAATCGGACAGTGATTGATTGATTTTGATGTAGACAGACTTGTTCAGCTGGAATTAAACCAGTTTTGAAGTTTTCCTAGATGGACAACTTCCTTGGCTTCCTTACAGTCTGCTGTCATCTGAACACCGACTCCCAGGAACGACATCCTGCTTCTGATTCTGTTTACAAAGTTAAAACTGAAAAAAAGAATGCTTGAAAAGGTTGTGGTGAAAACTTAAGAAACCAAAATTTTTACACGTCTTACAAAATGTGTGATAGCAGGATGCCTGTGGACTAAATCTATTTAAATCTATTTCCATTTAAAAGTGTCACTGATTATATACTGATTTTAAAATTGCTTCCTGGCTGCTTGGTTTTGGGGTTGGTTTTTTTTGAGGATCACGTACAGCATACTGTCATTCATCTGTTGCATTTGTGTTAGCTCCTTTGTATATTGTCCACTGCTGTACGAAGTGCCTCATTTCCCTTTCAATTTCCTACCTTAGTCTTTTGAGCTGGAGGCAGGGAATGAAGTGTTTTGGGGCTTTCTCTTCTTTTTTTTTTTATAATGAAAGAAAACACAAGCTTTCCATTCTTCCTTCGAAGAAGCGATATAGACTTAAGACCATTTTTTAAAATTCATTAAAATGAGTTTTTGAGATTTGTAAGTGTGAGATACATGCAAATAGTCAAGTTCTAGTGAGCCAAAATAGCCTCAGTGGTGCAAAATTATATTGTATAATATATGTTTCATAACATGCTTTACTGCTGCAACAGAAGTGTTTGTTTTGGTTTTTGTTTTTTTTTTCAAACAGCCCTTTCAAATGGAAATATTTAAGCAGCAACAAATCTCAGAAGGAAGCCAGTACTTTTCTTTCTGTGTTTTTTGTATGCTGGAGGAGATTGTTACACATACAGAGAATACTGTATGAAAGTTTCATAGAGAATTACAATTTCAAATTTCCAGACATTTCATTTTTAGAGGCTTTTTCTACATCAGAATTTTTCCTTAAGTTGTATTAATAGATAGTTAATCTATGTCCTAGGACCAGTCGTGGTTGCTCATGTATTGAACTGTCATGAGAGTTAGCTTTTGAGCATGTTCTGTGCATAGTTCAACTTCTTTGTCATACCGCAGTCACCACCTGTACTGATCAGAAATTTTACTAGCATATTTTGTGATTATCTGTATTCCAGTCTATGCTGGAACAGTTATATGGGAATTAAGTATTCCTAGTACAATGCTGCTGCTTCTCTATTTAAAAGTTGGCTTTCTCCTACACCATTGTTCAGTTCTTTATTTAAGTGGATGCTGTTTGTTTCTAACTACTTTTGTTTTGAGGTATTTGACCTGTCTGAAAGTATCTTTTTTTTCATGGATTCATACCTGTGATTTACTCTTGTAAAATTTCTCTGCCCTGCTGCTGTAGAAGACTCTCAAAAGCACTGTTAATGTATTATGCAGAAGATGGTGCTGGCTTACACTAGGGAACTGTACTCATCATTGAAGTAGTTTAAGCAGAAGAGTGAAATGAAGTCCTGCTAGACTTGCTGAATCATATTGGGCAAAAAGTAGGTTTGTTCTGCTTTGATGCAACAACTGTTCTAGACCATTCCCATTGCAATAACCTCCTGGTAGCTGTTTGAGATCATGAAGGGGAGACTTCACAGGATAGCAATTTGCTTAGAGAGGACCAAAGGAACTGCTTCATGTGGTTGCATCCTTGCTATCATAGAATAGGTCAGATTAAATCTGTGCTCTGCTAAAGACGAGATACTCTGTGTGTGTGAGAAAGAAAACTTTCTGAAATGATGTACAGCTGTGAATTTTTTGAGGGTATTTGAAATTTAAAACTTTCTGTACCAGGGATCATTTATTTGTTAGAAGCCAAAGCACTATTGTATGGCTAAAGCAAGGAAACTGCTGGGGAGGAGGGGAAGGTTTTTCCCTTTAATTTCTTAATGAATTGGCATCAGTTTAGAAGAACATACAGGAAAACATTAAAGAAGTATTTCAAGTTATTGGTGGTGTTTTTTTCCAGTGAGGTGTAGCAAGCTGTACCTTCAGCACTTCCTTTTAGACTTTTTTTTAACAAGCATGGGAGATGATCTTTGTATCCTAAAGTGGAGAGCCCATTCTCATTTTTACTGTTCCCCAGATGACTCTTTTGAGGCTTACAGCTGTTTGAATTTGCAGAGTCAGACTGGGGAAGCAACTAGGGATCCTTTGCATACCCCAAGTCCTTTACACTTCCATTGGAGTAATAGTGGGTACAGGAATTAGGTCTTTAAAAATTGATATTTACATGATCCTTATATATTCAGATCTTTTTGGCTCCGATATTGTTTAATTCTGTTCTAAATTGTTCTGAAGAGATAAAATGTTTGATTTGACCAATGTGCAAAGTATACTGATGTTTCTTATCACAGTCTAAACTGGTTGTTAAAATTAATCCTGAAATACAGTGTCATGCTTTGGGATTTCACTAACTAAAGAAAATATTTTTAATCTAACTTTGAGATGATGATTTTTTCCTAAGCTGTTCTCAGCCTATTTCACTTGCCGTTTTGTTTGCATTAACTTTTCTACATCACTACATTCAAAGTGGAAATAGGAAAGCTGAGAACAGGAAATGTGTACATTAAGTATCTCACTATGAAAATAGTGAGAAAATAGTTTCCTTGTTAATTTTTAGAGATTATATTTAAGCAATGTTTGCCATGCAAAATAGTTGTGTATTTCAGAAGTGCTAGAGTGTAATGGTAAGCTTGGTTGAAGCACTGTGGCATCAAATTCAATATACAGTAAAAAGGCAAAAGCAGTGAAGCAGATGAAGAAATGGGTTTGCTAGCAAGAAATCTGTTTCACTCCTCTTATTTCCACAACTGGAAAGCAGAGACAGTATCTGAGGAATATTACAATATGGATTGTAAACAGCCTGGAAGTAGGTGGCATAAATTTACCTCTGAGTAAAGTATTGTAACCTAAGGGTGAAACAGAAGATATCTGGACAAGAAACTAGCCTGGCTTTCCTTTCATTACTGCCAAAGTAATTAAGTATTTCCATCACTAGTGGGACTGTATAAAATGAGAAAACTATACAAAAAGGTCCCACAGCATACAGTGTCCCTGGTCTAAAGGAGATGCCATCTATTAAATAACTGCAAGACTTCCATGTACACAATGATCAAGAGGGACTTTTAAGAAATCAGTAATCATTGAGTGTGAACCATTCATGGCAACCATTTTCTGTAGTATTTGCTTTAAAGATACAGTTGGTATTGGAATTGATTGGAAACTTTCCTAGGACTGGCAAAGAAGAGGAAGTGTAAGGCTTAACACCAGTAAGGAACAGCTAGTGTAACAAATCTGTGGCACTAATACTGGGGAAAATGGGAGCATGGTTCCAGCTAGGAATGACTTTGATCGGTTGTTTTTCTCTGAGCCAAAAGACAACTTTGTATCCATAGTCACCTAATTTTTCCCCCATTTCCTTTTGCTTATGCCAGTAATAACCTCTGCATTACTGTAAAACTTTTTTTAGAAGTTTGTAAATATGTAAAATGAAAATACGGAAAAATTGTGTACCAAAATGGTATAAAAATGTGTAAGATAAATGCTCTGTTTAATGAGAAGCTGTAATTAAATGCTGCTTTAAGAAAGTGTGCATGAGGACATGTGGTAAATATCCTATGTATCTAGTTGTGTTAATGACAGCAATTATCCATTTTTATGTCAGAAAACTTCATGCTAATACGGAATATGAAGGAAAAACTAGTAATTTACTTCAAGCAAAAGTTGGGTATTGAGTTTCCTGGAAGACTTCATGTGCATAATCATTGTTAAATATGTTCATAATAAAGTTTTATATCTTTATATTGTATCTTGGTATTATTTTCCTTCTAGTGAATGGCTAACTGTACCATTTTCATAACTTACATGGAAACTGAAAATACATACATTTTGGCATGCATATTTAAGCTTGGTTAATTGCATAAGGATGGGATCCAGGAGGCTCTGTCAGCACAGATTAACTAGGGAATTATGTTTTGGGTTGGTGGTTTTTTGGTTGTTTTTTTTTGATTACTCTGCCTGGGCTTGAAGGTGGAAGGACAGGTTGCTAATTTTCCTAAGAAATATGCTAGCCAGTTTACAAAGGGGAACTGGCATTCTCAGATGGTTTAACAGTGGCTTTGCAAAGCCTGCTGTGGTCACACTGGCAGTAAAACTTCCCCCAGTGAATGTTAGTGCCAGCTGCCTTTCTGCCAAACATGCATGCTTCACCTGAGCTGCTGTCAGATGCTTCTGCCACCAGGACTTTAAGTTCTTCTACTTACCCTGCAGTGGTGCATCCTCTCAGCACACCCAGGAAGGGCTGCCCCACCTTCAACCCACTGGCCAGTAGTAAAAAAAAAAGGTTGAGAGATGGTGAAGATGCTGATGTCATTCGTCTTGTTCTTATAGCTCTGTGTCTTCCAAGAGTCTGCTCATAGCTGGTAGAGGGCAACACACTGATCATTTTTGTAGTCTATTTGGGGTGATGCCATTCCTCATATAAATTCGAGAAGAGACTGAAATCTCATTATGTGCTGAATAAAATGGCTGTAAACATCTCTGCACAAATGGATATGAAACTTACTTCTGCTTTAATATCAGAGATGGTAGTGCTAATTCACCAGCATCAGTTAATTCTGAAGCCATTTCCTTTAGGTTTTAGTTAAAATAGTTAATGGTGGAAGACAGGTCATACTCATTTGTGGCAGTTACAGTAAATGATGACACCCCACACACACACCTCCCCCTTCCTCCAGATCAGGGCTGACATGCCTCTGATTTTTATAGCTGTCGTCATATGAAAAGCCATGGCAGTAAGCTAGAGATAGGAAACAAGAGACTGACCTTACAATTACCTTCCTGAATATTCCAGCCCACAGTTTGTGCTAATTTTTTTTTACAGCCAATTAATTACCTAGAGCAAAGACTCCGCAAGCTCCTCACCCTAATGCTTTACTTTGGCACTGAGATGAGCTGGCCAGCAGTCTTTGAAAAAGGTGATTAAAACTATGGTATTTGAAGATAATTAAAATTGAAAAATCAGTAGCTGTACAACATCAAGACTATAATATACAATGGTTATAGCGTTTTACAGAAAAGCTCTATCTTAATTCGTGGGAGTGGAGGGAACAACACTCAAAAACCTACAACCCCTAAACCCCTTTCTGTAGTCCTAAAACAGTTACACTGGAAGCATTCATTATTGCTCACATGTAGAATTATCTATAAAACTGTACATTTCTGTAGCACAACTCCTGTTTTAATTACAACAGGGTTTTTTTCTTCCCATACAGCTTTTACACTGAGAAGTGGCTCAAACCTTTTTTTTTCTGCAGTTCAGCATATGCATGAACTAACAAACGGCAAAAAAAAAAAAATAATCAAGGGATTTGCGATTATTAACATGAACAAAGGACAAGGAATGTTTGAATGTCTTGACCAAAAAGCTAAGTGTTTCTAGAAGTAAATACTGATTCAAAGTGCACAAAACTATTTCTTTTAAATGTAAATAAATAGCTAAGTACTACACCACCAGCATCATAATGGCATGCTAATGGAAAGGAGATAAATTATCCAACCATCCAGATGTAAAATTTCCTTAGCAATTCAGAGATCAAAGATATATTCTCTTCATGACAGGTTTCTCTCACCCTGATGACTACTTGTGAGAGACTGGAAGAGTCAATGCCTCAAACATTCTGGTGGGGCAAGTTCTGCTTAACAATGAACTCTGCACAACAAGGAACCCTGCCGAGCAAGGAACCCCAGGTGAGAAGCAGCCCATCAGCACAGACATCAGCCACAGGAGGAGGAGGCTGTGCCAGAGGGTGCGCAGCTCCCTGTTCTGATAAGCTGAGCAGGACAGATCACCATGCAGGGAAGGGGAAGTTACTCCCCAAACGACCCCCCAAGCCCAAAGGCTCACAAACCGCTCATGACACCTAATTAGCCTAATGAGTTGGAGTGCCCACCCAAAGGAGGGGCAAGGTTGATAAAAGGACACAAACTGAAGGCCTGGGTGCATGTGCCCGCTGGAGCGGGACCCCTCGGCCGGCAGGAGCAACGCTGGAGCCAGGACCGGTGACATCCTTCTCTTTTCCGTTTTCTCCCTCTTGCTCCCTTTTTCCTTTTCCATAACCCCCACACCTCATCCCTTTAGACGTAAACCTCTGGCCACGCCTGGGACCAGGAGCGGATCCAGCCCCCCCAGGGCTCCTCTCTGAGAAGGAGCCTAGAAAGCAAGGGGGTCTGCTCTGAACCTCCAGACCCAGCCGGAGGGCTCTCCTTATTGTCTTCCCTGAACTAATTCCCATATAAGCAAGGCCTGTAGTATATGTTCGGTGATGCATGGTTAGCACATACTACATCATTTACTGACATAGTTTCATGCCAATTTTTGTTGTAAGCATACCAGTTTTGGTGGTGAGCATGCCAGTTCTTGTGAGCAAATAAAAATTTAGTTTTGTGAGTTAAAGGATCCCTGGTGTCGTTTCACCTTAATCCTGACCTGGGAATTGGCAAACCTAAGTCATTGTCCTGAGAAATTGGGATGTGACACTAGTTCAGGCACTTTATTCAATCTATCTTAATATTTTCTTTTTACAGGTGTTGTATCATTTCTGACACTGAATACTCAGCATTCTGTTTCTAGTCAAACCCATGCTAAAACTCTCTCTGCTACAGAAATAGAAGGCGTATACTCCTCAGAATAGCCCTGTAGCACTCACTAGGACATATCCTAGAATAAAGAAGTGGCTTGTCATGAAGGAGGTGTGTTTACAGAGATGTTTTGAAACTGGTATGCTAGCAGTAATATATAAGCCTTACAGGTATATTAAGAGTCTCAAAAGTACCAAGCCCAAACCTGCTGATAAAGACAACTTTTTTGCCCTACTGACAGCAGAAATGGATAGGAAGGAAGAAGGTTGAAGCCCTGCCTAGCACAGGGTTTTCTACAGTCTGTTTGGATACACTGAGTAGAGTTATCACAGAGAGCATGCCTCTACACCTAGCACTACAAAAAACCAAATCCTCTACTGTCATTTGATTTTTTAGTGTTACATCTTTCCAGATCGTGGAAACATACTCTTGTATCAGCAGTCATCTCACTGTGAACAGCTTTAGTTAAGAGCCAGATTCTGAAGACATTTGACAGGGCTTCCTAAATATAAGCAAATGCAGGCCACTCAGACTGACTCTAGCCCAGGTACTCTCCTGTACTTGCTTTGTAAGTAATTCTTTCAACTTCAACAGCAGTGAGCTACTGCGTACAGAAGCAGCATAGCAGTTCACAGAGGTAATCTGAAATTCATAGCATGCTCCCATTTCTTTAATTAGCTGACAAAGAAAACCTTACCCAAGCCTATGCTGAAAACTTGTTTTCCTTGTTATTCCTCTGCAACTTCACTCTAGAAGGCAGGAGACTTATTCACAAGTTATTTAGTCATGTCACCTTGAGGCAGTTTTTCCCCCCTTTCAGAAAGGATCATGTTTCACCAACTATCAGAACTCATCACACTCACTTTCAGCAAAATCTATCTAGAAAGTAGCAGGTAAGTTGAAGACCTACTTAACACATGTAATTGGCTGCAGTAGTGAATGATTACTTGTGCTTAGCCTGCTGAGCACTTCTAGAATGTGAAAAACTTCTTACCTGTCTTTGTTCAATGAACACAGTTATTTCCACGCCCTAAATACCATGCAAGCAGATTAAACAAGTCCCAAATATGCAGCCAAGTTACTTTCTGATAAGCATCATCTCATTTTCTTGCAATTTTGTAGTGACTTTGGCAAAATTATGGAAGTGCTTTGTATTCTGGTATGTACCTCAACTACCTTGAAGAGAATTAAAATAATTGGAACTTTTTTTTTTCCTTAAATAACAAGAGAGTTAAGTTTAAATGAGTCACACCAATGGTTATGAATTTGAATAATTTAATGCTAACCAAGAGTACAAAGTGTGAAAGTCGGTGTCTCATTTATATTGGTCTTAAAAAAGAAATCTAGAGGAAGTGTTTACACTGCAGCAGATTTCAGTATTAGCACCTTGAAGAGAAGTTCTTGAAGTGTTAAGACAGTATGGCAACACTGGTACGGTACTAAGTACAAACATAAAACATGTAACAGCATGTTTTCACATTTCTACATTTGAAAAAAGTTACTTAAAAAGTACATTAAAAACAGAAGTTGTTCAGTGTATTCACAGTTTGAGTAGAGATGGAATCAAGTGCTGGAGTAGAAAAGAGAAGGATGAATGATTTCAAGGCAATTATATTGCAAGTCCAAAGGCACTGACAATACAGTACATAGTCTTATTCTCCCATCTCACAGTGCAGGTTCCTACAAATACAAAAAAGGGTTTCAGCGAGAGAAGAAAGTTACAGAGTTTAAATGCATGTCCTTATATGCATGTTTGTAATCGTTTACATTAAGAATCTTAAGAATGAAGCTTTCACAACAGCTAAGCATTTCATGTATAGCAGAGTTAGCATCACAGCCAAATGGAAAAAATACCAAACTGTATGCTATTACTCCAAAACCACAGCACTTTGCAAAAAAGAAAAGTATGCTGCCTAGTCTCAAGGGGACTTGCATTAAAGTTGCAAGCTGAAAAATGCAACAGTTCTGTTCCTTACCATCACTGGAGTTGTCCCAGAAGCAAGAGCTTGCTGTATGTAGCCCAGCACCATTCTTTTGCATAATCACACAGGTCACTGTTAGTCAGTAGAGAAGCTTTTATTAATTTATCACTAATGTTAATTAACATTTAGCTACATTTTTGCTTAGCATAGTACATACATACACACATATGCATATATACATGCTTATGAGTAGTTTACAGACATGGTTCTTGCTAAGATCTTCCCCCACCCCCTACCCATCAGTGCACTTGGCTGTACCAGCTTTAACAGAAAAGAGACAGTTGAGCTCACCAATATACTTGAAAGGCTTCCCCAGCTTTGTGAGTTGGCTTAGCGTTTGTTCCACCACACTTGTTGTCCACTGGTTCACTTTGCTGTGCTGGTAGGCATTGCCACCTATCGCACTTTCTATGGCCTATTGGCGACAAACACGTAAAATAAGCTGCACTGTTATCAATCTACAAGGCACCCATTCCAACATGGAACACTAAAGATGAGACCCCATACCCACAGAAAAAATCCTAAATACTGCTTGTCCGTACAGATTGTCAGAAGTCTTTTCAACTACTAGAAAACTTGCAGGTCAGAGTTTGAGCTAGGCATAAGGGAAATTATCATAGATTCCATCCTCTCTTCATTTTGTGGTATTTCGATTATTTGTAATTCCTATCCCAATGTCCTGAAGCCAGAGTTATGAAAAGCATCTTGCATTTAAACAGTCCCAAAGAGACTGAAAAAATGCACACAACAACGGCTCATTCACACATATTCTTCTATGGAAATGATCCTCAGATTTTTCAGCAGAATCATTTTTGGGAAACGAAACCCCAAATCAAAACAAAAGACCCATGTAGTTGGTGATTACTAACAGAGCAGAAGCCTTCAGCCAAATAATCCATTTTACTTATGAGGATGGTTTCTGCTTTAAGATACAAATAAAAGTACATTAAAGCTGCATGTTTTTCACTGATACATTTTTTTCCTCACAGAAATTGTTTAAAACATAACCACAAAATTATTTCAGATTCAGAAGAGACAGAAGCATGTATTAAAGCATGTGTATTTAATTTACAGAGTCTGACCAAAACAGTTGTTTTGCAACAAGAAAAAGATTTGGCTTGTTTACAAGAGGAATTCTGGACACAGAACCCAAACCCCTTAGGAAATTTTCTAGACAGGAAATTCATGTTTCTTAGCAACTAGAATAGTGCAATCATTTCAAACAAGAACTCGTTTTGGAGGAAAAGCATCTCAAAAGAACACAGTAACATGCATATGCAGACAGCCTATAAAAAAAACCTGTATTACTGAAACAAAATCTATCTCTATAAGGTTTAACATTAAAACATCCCCCTAGAAATTCTGATAGGGATACACTGCAACCAAAGAAGAGCATATGAAATTATTTTAATTATCTTTTGGATTTGTAATACATATCACAACTAAAGCTAGGTGTCATTTCCACTTAAAGTATGCACATTGGTTAAATCAACAATTATCTACAGTTTGATAGCAACCTGTCTAGAAATCCATTACATATCAGTTATCAGATTTTCTTGAATGCCTTTTAGCACACAGCATACAACATACTATACTTCCACACCAATAAAATGAAAAAGTTAGTTTACCTCTTTAATGATGCTACTGACTTCATCAACAACAAAGGAAGTCTACAAAAAAAGCAGAATGTTCAATAATCAGTGGACACATTCTTCTGTTTACAGTTCAAGCTTTGTTAAGAACATGCACTAGAAGCTTAATTTATGTTTGTCAGATTTCTTGCAAGGCAGAAGATACCGAGTCTTCCTTTATTTATTCATATGTACTCTGACTCCCCGAACTCAGTCAAGTTAACATTCTTAGCAAAGTAATGAAAACTAACAGATAAACTAATATTGGCTGGCCTTTTGAGTCAAAGTTTTAAATGCTTTCAAGTTAAAATTTGAAAAAAATTAATATGTATAGCACTTCTGTACATATATATTCTCATTTTACGATAAGCATTAACGTCCACAATTCACAGTGGGGTTGCAGAGATAACTTCAGTGTGCAGACACTGCTTACGGTTAAAAGAAACCAACATCTCCAAGGCACTGATGTGGACAAAACATCAATTCACAGCTGTCACGACAATCTTAGCTGGGGATAAGAAGAATACTGCCCCTTGGAAACCAAAAGGGAAATCTAGCTGGCTGGACTTCCCACCACCTTCATCCTTCTCTCAGGCTCTGGGGAGTAGAGATTAAGCATGTGGAATGGGGACAGAGAAAGCCCCAATATTTTACTAATCTTAAAACTACTACTCATTTACTTGTATGGTTAGTATATTTTCCTGTTTTAGTCCCTCAGCTATTGCTGTCTCCCATGTAAGGTGGTTAAAACAAGCTACCACCGCTGCAGCGGCATCCTGCCACCCCCCCCAGCCGTTTGAGCAGCCTGGGAATGCTAACCGGTGGGATCCCGCACAGCACGGCAGCAAGCCAGGCACTGCATTTTTACTACTGGCATCTCACAGCCTCGCCTCACAAACCAAAAGAAAGGAACCAGACAAAAGAAATGTACACAGCAGCAAACTAATTAATTTCAGAAGACTGAATAAGGATTTAAAAATTAACCTAATCAAGCATATGTTGACTGAGTTTTCACTGGGAAATCTGCCAGCTTCTCCAGCTGGCAACCATGAAAAACCACATAATTCAGGTGTTCAAGCAGGACATAGTTATACCTGCTCAGGAGAATTTGAACATTATATTCATAAACCCTTGGTCAGAAGGTGAACAGTCTAGCCAGCTTCAATTACATGTGACATTGAGAGACATGTGAGCAGCTGACTGTTCGCTGTGACAGAAGAAACAGCACACCCCAGGAGACAGACAGGCAGTGCCTTTGCCGTAACTATTCAGAGGCACCAACTTGCTCATACACTTCAACATTTGTAAAAGCTTTTATGTGCTGTGGCAAACTGGCTTTTATTTTCAGCTTCTTGACTTTGATTTAATTTTAATATCCCCCATTTGTTTTCATGGTACTAAATTTTACAGTGCTTACATTTTAAGGTGCACCAGTGTATTTAACCAAATAAGAGCTACAATTATCAAAATACTCTTTCCCACAGAGCATAAGTTAAGAATACGCATGCCAGACATGCTGGCAGACATCAAGCATGCTGCCAGGCAAAATGATAAACCATATACAGTTTTTTCTTCATAAAGTCTAGATCTCTGCTCAGAAATGCCTTTGAATGAGCACAAACAGTTCACCAAAGTAAACTGAATTCAATTCAACCCCTGTTCTCAAAGGTATTTAGATACCTAATTTGTACTGAAACAAGTGGGAAAGAGCCATAGATAGATTTGAGAATTTGGTTCTGGAGTTGCTGTTACTTCTTGACCTTCTTCATTTTTTGGGATGACAGCGTATATGGGTTTAGATGCACAACAAAATAGAACATAAAGTTCTGATATCCAGCTTTGTGGTTTATGGGGTATAACTGAGCTGCCAAATAATGCAACACTACTACTTCATCTTTTAATAGGATGATATAAACCCTTTTTGTATCAAAAAGGGAAAAAAAATTCAGGAGCTTTATGATTTCCCTGTACTACCCCTCTGGCACAAGGAAAGCAGACACAATGTTTCCAATACCGTTTTTAAAACAGGTGCTGCCAGGCAACAAATGGAAACAGCAGAGCAGTATTATTTTCTAGTAATTCTGAAGATGCTTTTGAAAACAGCTATAAGAATGATGTTCGAGTATGTTAATTATATATTTTTTTTATTTCCTGTAACTGTATTACATAGGCCAGGCCCAGCAATCAGGACAAGGATTTAAGGATAGCACAAGCTGGACACACCTTCACTCCTCACACTGCTTTGCTATTGTCTAACCAAGTCACCATACAGCTGTTTAAGAACAATGCAGCAAATTGTCGCAGCTCAGAAAAACCGTCCCCCTCCAGGAGCAACACTTGCTGGGGAGTCATTTAGCACGATAAAGACCAAGACCCTTTATCTATCCGACTTTGTATCTCCGTTAACGGGGTGTAATGTCTCATTAGTGCGCCTGTAACATGCAGACTATCTGCGTGAACCCTTCTTTCCGCATAAAAATAGGTTATTAGAGCCTTCCACTGATCTAAACCGTACCAGCAAACCTTCTACCACAGCACACTGCTTCATCCTGCCGGTGAAGCCAGAAGCCGCGATACCCCTCGAGCATTTTCTCCAAGTGATGTGCAGCGGCAGCTTTCGGGAGAGGAGCAGGCATGGGTCGACGCCAGGCAAGAGGAGCCCAGCGGACACCCCAAATGCAGACAGGGGACTGGCCTGCCGGTCCGGCCGGTAACCAGAGCTGCTCACAGCGCCAGAGAGACGGAGAGCTCCCGGGACGGCTCCGGCCGGCCTGGGGAGAGGCGGGGGGCGAGGGCACGCCCCGGGCGGCAGGAACAAAGGCTAGGCCTGTCTCCCGCCGTTGCCCAGGACGCGCGGCTCGGAGACACGGCCGATCCCCGGCGTCACCCCGGGGGAGGGCAGCAGGGGGTCGGGGGGCTGCCAACGGCCCCGGGATCGCCCGCGGGAGACCGAGGGGGGGGAGGTCCGGGGCGGACAGGTATCACCCAAGACGCCGGCCCTGAAAGGAGAAGCTGGGCGCAGCCCCGCAGCTGCCTTCCTCCTGCCCCCCGCGCCGCCCCGGTCCGGTCCGGTCCGTTACCTCCTCCCCCGACTGGAAGTCGTCCATCTTCCCGGTGGAGCCCCTCACGCCGCAACCGACACCCCGGCACCGCCCCCTCACCACTGCGCCCCACGCGCCGGCCGCTGCTCGCAGTGCGCCTGCGCCTCCGCCTCCCCGCCCGCGCCGGGCCACGGAGCCCGAGGCGCTTGCGCAGTGCTGCCCGCGGGGCCCGACCCCCGGCGTCCGTCGGCGCTCTACGCCTGCGCGCCTCGCGCCCGTCTCCGCTTGGGTTCCGTGCGCCTGCGCGCTCCTGCACCGTCCCGTCCCACCCCCCGCTTCCCGCCGCTCTCCTTACGCCTGCGCAATGCGTTCTCCGCGTCTCGGATGTGTAGCAACGGGGAGGGACTCGGCCTGCCCAGCGCCCTCCAAGATGGCGGCGTTTCCATAGCGACAGCGCGGAGGTGCCTGGCCGGGACCTCGGCGGGGTGATGAGGCCGCCATGGCGTTGCCAAACGCCCCAAAGCCAGGGAGAGGGAGAAGACTGTTTGCACCAGTTGTGTTTTTCATACAGATAGCTTGCCATTTGTGTTCAGTGGGCGTGCCTGCGGAGAGCTGGAGCCGAGAGGTCCCTCCCTGGGCAGGAGGATCAGCATCTTGTTTCTGGAAACAGAGCTTGGAAAGTTGACCTGAGTGTGTCATGTATGCCCAGAAACTGAAGAAAACATGGAAAGACATGAAGAATATGTGCATTCTCACAGCATCTACATAATTGGATGCCATTAGTTTTAGCAGCTAGAATAAGAATCTAGACAAAGGGCACACTTTTCACAGTTTATGGGGTTTGTGTGTGTGTGCATGTAGTGTTTACAGATTGCCTCAATTACTGATGATACCAACATCTGAGAGTGGAAGATGCTGTTCAGGTTCAGAGTGGCCTGGATGAACTGGAGAAATAGTCTGAAGGAAGGAGAAAATAACTTACTGGGGGCAAGTGCAAAGGCCTATAGTGAGGCAGGAATAACCAGCTCTATAAATGCAGACAGAGCAGGACCAGCTCACTCGGTAGCCATTCCATAGACAAGAGAGTAGGGGGTTGTATTAGGTACTATTTACCTCAATTTGTCATATGGTGCTGTTAAAAAAAGGAGACGCCATACTGTGACGTGTAAACAGACGTATAGCTTGCAGGACATGGGAAGCAGCTTTCCTGTTGCACTCTGCAATAAGACCCCACAAGGAATATTGTGTCCAGTTTTAGGTGTTGTATTTCAAGAAGTTTGAAGGAGTTACAGCCTCAGGGCCCAAGTGTGCCAACAAACCTCAGCTGCCCTGATCAGCCTCAGCTGTGGCCTCTACCCCTGTGTCCTCTGCTCCAGGCCTGTCTCTGGTGGACCTCGGCCCTACATTTTGACCTTTGTCTCCAGTCCCGTATCAGGCCCTGCCTCCTGTTTCTCCTGAAGAAGAAGACCCTGACCAGTCACCTCGCTTTGGGATGGTGTGGGCAGCCTGTGGGCAGCACCCACTCTGCCTGCGCCCTGCTGGGATACGGCAGGACTGTGGCTGGCTGCTGAGCTTGCCCTCGTCCCCTCTCTGAGGCCTGTGCTCACTGCTCCCACCAGCCAGAAAGCAGAGGCAAAAAAGTGAGGACTATGGGAAGGCTGAACAAGTGGTGCTTGTTTAGACAGAAGAATAAAAGGCTATAACTTGGTTATATTCTTAGCATGTATAAAATACTGCAGTAGTTTTCCATGTCCAGGGGAGAGGGAAAAATACAATGAGTTAAAACTGTAGCAATTAAGGCTTTGGTTAAGTATTAGGGGAAAGCTAGTGGTAGGGCTATTGTTCATCTGACTGCATTTGTGATACTATGTATCTGTCACTGTGGGTAGTTACAATCCTCAGGTTATTTCTTGTCTTTCATTTAGTTAAAGTTTTGCCTGAAATGAAGGCCCAAATCATCCAAACATTCTTTGCTGAGCATAACTCTGTGCCTCGCTAACAGTTGCTTTGTCTTTAGTGATACAGTTGAAGATAATTAAACTTGACATACACAGGTGGATATGTTTGATCCTATTTAACTTAATGAGGTTATAAAATTGCAGGCTGTTTAATTTTGCCATGTGAATAGAGTTGCAGGGCTTTGTTTAATTTTAACTGAAAATAATATTTCTTAAAACACCCAAAACACTAAGAAGGGCTTCTGCATTGTATGTACAGTTTATCTGGTAGAGCCAGGAACAAGAAAGGAGATCGACCTCCAAGAACAGCCTCTCTTCTTTTCCAGAGTTTGAAATAATTTGGATGTGATTTTGAATTTCATTACTCACACTTGGTTCTGTAATAGTCTGAATTGGTATAGCCAATCCAAATAATATTTTAACTTTTAGTAGTTATCTGAGATCAGATTTCTAGTTGTGAGGTAAAATAATGTTATTCTTTTTGCAGGTGCATAAAAAATGAATTCTTTTGAACTTCTGCCTATACCAATTGCTTTGTCATTCAGACCTGAATAGAAAACTATTTTGTTTCCAGGAAAGAGCTGTTTACCATACAAGCAGAGTTTTCTGTGTGAGTCCTGGGGACATTGAGGTTAGTAGTAGTTTCACATCTATAGTATCAGAAAAAGAAATGATGTAGAACTCAAAGCCACTTCTCTTCCTGTGTGTGGCTTGAAGACTGAGCATATTTTGATGATATCAGTCAGCTTTTGTAGTGTCTTGTGCCAAGTCTCTTTTTAATGTTAGAAAAATGAGTAACTTCTCTTTGATTGCTAGTTGCTGTTGCTGGTAACAAAACCAGAGACTTGGCAAAAGCTGTTGTAACTGTAGAGCTCTTTGCTGAATGCATTTGCTTTCAGCTGTTTCGGGGATGCTCCTCTGTACGTATGTCAGTCTAATTTCGGTGCCCAAAGGAAGGAAAGGGGGTGGAGAACAGCCACCAGTTTTCTTTAAGGAAAGATAAATAATAAGAGTGCTACTCATCTCTTAAAAGCAGTTTACTTCCACGCATCTTTCTTTGATGGCTGCTGAAAAGGTAAGGACATCGTTTTAATCTATTCTATATGACATTGCACAGGGGGATGCATTTTTACTTACTGGGATGGTGTTTTTTCAACTGCAAAGATTTAATGGAAAGACCATAATGGGAACTTAAGTGTTTGTGTTATTTTGGTTTGGTTTTTTTACTTGAAGTGCTGGGATGGGATGTTATTAAAATCCCAAGACATAACTTTAGTAAAACATTATCAAAGAACTTGTAAGTAATTTGCATGTGCGTGTGTGCGAGGATGTGAAAATTAAACTGTTGCAGCCAGGTAGCATGAAATAACACTTGTAATTTTCTTAACTAAGAATAAATTTATGTGATTGGCCTTTGCAGAATAGAAAATAGCCACAAATTACAGTGGCTTTTGTGGTTGTTTTTACTCTGAACCTTCTTAATCTGTGTCCTAGCTACTGATGTATTACATCCATCTTCTGGGTTAATGCATGAAGTAATACAATTATCTCAAGTCAATGAAGGCTGTGACTTTAGAAGATCAGTTTATTTATACTTATTTAATTGTCATTATTTTGCTAATGCTTAAGGATCTGAAAGAGATCACCAATACATTACATGCAAAATTGCTTTGAGAAAAAGCTTGCTAAGTCAGGCATTTCTAAGTTCAAAAACTTAAAAAATTAAGCTACCTTTTTGCAAACTTAATCTTGTCTTAGGTAGGCCTTTTGATTGACCTTCAGTGACATAACTACATACTATTTTAGCCTGATATTAAAAAAAAAAAAAAAAAAGGCATGGTCTTCTCAGATGGCACTGTGTGCATGCATGTCTCCCTCTCCTAAGCCGTGACCAGGTTGGTTGTCCCATCTCCTTTATGATGGCTTTGAGACTTCACATGATATTTTCAAAAAGCTGCTGATCCATCTGCAAGCTGCCTGACACAGGATTATTTAAAATGATTCTTAAACAAAATATTTTATGTGGGCTTTGTGCTGAAGAGGGAGAAGTGTCATGGTATTTACTAAAAAGGTTGCTGTTGCTTTTGGTTTTACATAGAAGATGCTTGGCTTTGAGGTTAGCTGGCTGTGTAAAACAGCTAGCTAGCTGGTTTCAGTGGGTAAACATGAAAGGAGGGCATCTGTAAAGGTTTTTAAGATTGTTTTTTCCTGTCAAGGAGGCTCATTACTGAAAACACAACTTCTTTATTACTGCCAAAAAACTAATCTAATGCAGATGGCTTCGGTGTTAGAAAAGCTCTTCTTTTACAATGGTAGAGAGATTTTTTCAGTCCAATTTGAACACCTCTGTGAAATGATTATGAGTTCAAGTCTGTTGTGGGGCACAAGGATTATCTCCCATTTGGGGGGATATAATTATTTATTCTTAAAGCTACCTCATCCGTAAGCTAGATTGAGTTATCTTTGAATGTGCAAGAAAAATTAACGGAACATGACAATTGTCAGAGCTTAAACCTTCATGAAGATTTTAAAAAAAAACTCAAACAACTAACTGTAGGAATGTCCATGTGCAATATTGATAGAGCTGCTGTCTACATGCTGTGTTTTAAGTTTTATTCTCTGCAGCGTGTGATGGTCTTGGCCAGCAGTGAGAATGCCACAGTGGCTTTTTCCCTCCCAGCATAGTGCAGATACTGTAGGACATAGGGCTCCTGGCACTTGGGTCTGCAGTAAGTTTGTTGTGTTGTTTGGTGCCAGAAGATGATCCTAGTCTCTCCATCCTGGTCCCTGTTGGCAGTCCACTGCTGGAGTTAAATTCCGTGCTTGTGATTTATCACTGTGAATAGGGTATGAAGTGCAGCAGTAGACCAAGTGGTTTTGATGATGGTGTTTGATGATGGGCTGAGGTTGGAATGCTTTTCTGAAGAATCCTGCCCTGGCTAGGGGGAATAGTTGTGAGCAAGACAAAGTGGAAACAGGGGAGGCTCCAAGCTGTTCCTTCTCTCACACCATTTAAATTTGTGCAAGCTTGAATAGCTGAAAACATTTTTTTTTTAAAAGTTCATATGCATCTCTAAATAAGAATCTGTATGCCCTCAATATTTTTCATACACTAAGATGTCATCTGAAACCCATTTCCCAAACCAGGTTTGAAATATGGAAAACTTTGTGCTCTTT